TTTTTATATAGGACTACAAACCAGCACTTGTCAAATTGCTACGTATTTTTGGCACACACTGGCAAACATGAAAATAAGTTGAAGGATCAAGGCCAGTGTCTCTTGGCTGCACACAAAGGCTGCATGAGTTTCATCAGCTACTGTCATTGGTAAAAAGATTCTGGGATGCGGTATTGTGTAGGTATATGACACCATGAGGTTAAAAAATAATTTCAAGAAAGTCTCTGAATAGACTGATTTTATTTGTAATCATTTTAAAGATACGTACTTTTGATGGTAGAGAGTCCAGTTTTGCTCTGAAATACAGCTGATGGTGAAATCAGCTTACTTTGTTTATAAGATGTTCCTATACATGACTGTGTGGAAAAGTTAAAACCTCATGAATTCCTAAGTCATCTAGAGTAACTGACCTCTAAGAAGACAAAGTGTTCCCCATTTCCCTTCTGGTTACTTCCCTCTCTCATAGTTTTTATCTTTTTTTACTCTTCAATCTTTATCACTGGAGTCTGTTGCCTCAAAGATCAAAGACAATCTAAGAAGAATGAATTTGAGTTATTCATGAAAATAATTTTCATCTGATAAACTATTTACACAGACTTCAAAACAAAAAAGAGAGATATCCTATCACTATTCAGGGGAAAAGGTGTGTAAGTCTTATATGTAGCCTTTAATACTTTCATTTAAAAAGCACCAACAGAAGAATTACAGGTGTTCTTTGAGAAGTATAAAGTGCGTCTCTGTGTGAAAGGGTGGATAATGCAACCAAAAAAAATTCCCATCTTCCTCCAGAACTCCTTTACATCTAAATTTACAATTTATAATCAGTACTAAGAAAATACTTCTAACAAGATTTCTTAAAATTAACCAGCACAAGAGGCAACCATTTAACCTTGTTCCCTACACTGGAATATCTGTCTCATGCCAAAAATATTACAGGTATGAAATAAAATGCCAATGTCTTTCTTTTGCATATTACTTTCATGAACTGAACTCTTGCTAAAAAATTAATTTCTGGTCTTGAGATTATGAGATGCGTGTGTATGCCTACATGAAAAGCATGTGGGAAAGCACGTAAAAAAACCCAAGACAAAACAATTCTATTCCTTTTTGCTGTTGACTTGCAAATCCTAGTAAACCAAGTATTTTTTTAGAAATCTGTTAATGAGTAGTCTTCTCACTCACTGAGTCTTCCTCTGGAATAATAATCCTTCACTACATCAGGTACTTCCTTTCTAATGACAGAATGCTGCAATCAAGAAGACCATTTCTTACCGTAAGATTACTGCTGACATAAAACTACCTACAGGCATACCATCAAACTGTCCCTAATCAGTAAGTCATAAATTGCTCTTTACTCTTGAGAAAAAGTCATAAATTGCTCTTTACTCTTGAGAAAAATCTCCATATTGTAAACAAACGGTATTTTGTCATGAATGTCATTAACTAGAAATAAAGAAATGTTTAGTTTGTTGCTTTTCTTTTTCTCTTAAATGCAACTACTTTAACTTTCAACTAGATGATGTTCTTCAAAACCAGTGTTGCCTGATATGCTCACCAGGCCCTATGCACGTGAAACCATCTGGCTTAGAAGACCTCTCTTTCAGGCACAACATACTTACTACAGTGGGTGAGGAGCAAGGCTGGAAACTGACAATGCATTTTTGCAAGTTTGAAAAGCTTCCTGCTTACAGGACTAAATAACCCTGATGAGAATAGAAGTCTAGAGAAAGTCGAAACAGTGACACCTTCTCAGAAATGTGTTGCAATTTCCATATTTACTGTCTTCCTCAGTTCCAGAAGTATTTTAAAACCAGCACGCACTGAAAACGAAGTGGCATTGCTTTAACTGGTATAGAGGAATGACAGGAATGCAGATGGTAGTACATCCATTTACACATTCACTCAGGTGTTTCTCCTCTGAACTTCCTCCTTCTTACTGAAGCACTGGTTCTGAAGATCCCTGATAGAAGGTGACAGAAGATGTATCTACCTTGTAGAAGAGTTTTCAGCAGGGAAACCTGTGACAGCATCTTAATAAGGCTACTTGTTGAGTGCTCTCACTTTGGGAACCTACGTACCTATGACAAAAATCTAGGCATGGTAAGTTACATGACACTTTTCACACTGATAGAGATGCTGAGGAACAGTAGTGGTGATTGGTTCCACACAATTCTTCCTAACCTTGGTATGATGCATGAGGGTAGTTCAGGTATGTGCTATCACTTCTGCCATAAATATTCCTCATCCATACGCCCTATAAGATGCCACACATTACTGAATTTTGACAAGCAAGATCCACTGCTTCAGTTATACCTGACACTGATGATACACACTCATTTGAGGAAACAGGTATACATATGTACAGGCAATATTCTAGACACATAAACCACATAAAATCTCATAGTACATACATACACACAGTGAAATCACACTCATATGCAAAAATAAATACATTCTAAACACTCCAGAATGGAAACATTATAAACACATGTTAAAATTGTGTGGTACTGCAATACAGACAAATAAATTCCCACAGATAAAATACAGGTTATTTGAAAATTACTAATACATTTAGAAACGTGCATTTCATTAATCTTCAAATGATACTTTTCCATTGACAGATATATTAAGGCTTGCAGAATTTTTCCTCTTCCATAAACTCAGAGATACAGCCTCTGCTTACAATGATGTTCTATCTAAGATGCAATTACATGAATTAAAAAAATAAGTGGGTTTTCCTCCTAAGTGATTTGAGCTGTGGAAGAGGTTAATCTACCACCTTTCTTATACAGACACTATCTAAGAGACTTCCTTCTATTTATCATAGAAATTATTGCTCTCTGTCTGATAAAGTACCCTCCTTTGCCATTTAAGCAAGCAGTTTACTTTGTAAGGACTATCAGAAAACATGAATATTACAATTCCTATAAATATAATTCAGCAACATATCAAGTTAAATCAGATTTTTAAAATGGAGCTATTCTTTTTGCATATTTCATCAAATTAACCCCCTTAATATTTCATGTTTAAACAGAGGAGGGATAGTTGTGAGGCAAAATAACAGAACTATTGTGCATGGAATAAGATTCTGTCCTCTCTGGGAGTGAACATTCCATTAAGCTCATTTGCCTTCTATTTCTCCTCTCTCCTTTTTCTACTCAAATCTGCTAAGAAAATATTTCAGTGAAGACTACCCACTATATTTACTGCAAGGACACTTAGTCTCTCAGCTTTTCAGCTGCCATTCAAAATACACATATGCAAAATAATACTTTTCCATATTCAATATATGTTTGTCCATTACACTCACTGCTAGTGTGTCTTAGCATCTTCCAGTAGTGCCTTGTTTCATATGAGTAACACCTTTAGTATTGCAGCTTAAGAAGTTCAATCATCTAAGGTGTGAGAGGTGGGCTGACCTAAGTCACATCATCAAAAGCCCATTACCTGAACAAGACATGACAGCTCCCAGGAACAAGGAAGGGATTTTTCCCCAGCACTTTAAATAGCCCTGACTAAGAACAATACAATCCTTCCTCCACACTTATGTGCTGGCACAACTGAGACTAATGAGTAACCCATCCTTTGCTGTTTCCAAGGATCTCAAGCACTTAAACACCAGCTGAGTAAGAAAAAATGAAAATTCAGAAGAGGTCTCCTTAGGAGGTTCAAGTAAAACCACATTGCTGTGACTACTGATCTTGCAGTAAGTTCCTAAGAGTAAAATTATTTCTTATTTTCCAACATTCCATTTTTCTTTGTTCACTGAACTCAGTTTGGACAATTAAGCCAGAAATAGGAGATTTCTTTATCTTCAACATTAGTAAAATATCAGTGGGATTTGATTTCATATATTAAAAGAACAAGACTGTGGTTTAGAGTTTTTGTCTTTTTTTAAATAGTTTTGGAGCAGTACTCTGAACATCATGGAAATACTAAGTTACACTAATAAATTTTGAAAACCTTCTTTCTTTGTATCCAAGACCAAAGTCTGAACACTGGATCCATCCTAATAAATCATGTTCCCCTTGAAAATTTAGGATAGGGGAGTCCACGCATCTTAAAGTAGAAAAAAAATTTTGATCACAATAGTGTGATAACTTTGATGCAGATACAAGCAGTCACTGTATTTCCTTGCAGTGGATTTGATTCTAGTTGAGAAGGAATAAATTCTCACCACTTTACACACTGCAAAGTCATGTCTATGTCAGATATTATGCCATCACTTCCCTTTACAAGATTTTAAAACTACTCTTAATTCTCTTTGCACAGTTGATGATGAGTATATGAAACAGCACAACGGGTTAAGCAATCACAGAGAGCAAAGCAATATGTCAGACTGACCTACTAACAGTCAAACAAACCATGCGATCAGATCTAAGCCAATTCCCACCCTGCACCCATCTTTCACTCTACTGAAAAACAAAACTGACACAAATTGCTGATTCACTTTCCATGAGTGGACTTGGTTAAAATGAGTTTTGTTATAATGAACATTACATTGGAGGTAAACTTCAGTATTTATTGTTGTCATTACTCAAAATCAAACAGCTTGTAATGATTTTGAGTACCAATGACTTCATAATATTGCCTTTTAAGACTACTGAGAAATACAGACGTGCTTTTGATCTCAAAAGCATACGGACACTATGTTTATTTTTTGTTACAAAAATATAACTCAATGTTCACCAGAGCTTTGTTACCAGAAGAGTCCTGCATCTCTTTTCTGGTAACAAAACAGAAATATGTTGAACTACACACGTTTCTGGCATTAAAAAATCCTGCTGAAATCAACTTAGGCTAAAGATAAACTGTACTGGTATAAATTACTAACATTCTATTTTATATTTGTAAATATGGATTTAATAATTTTACTTTAGACAATTTCCTCTCTTCCCCATAATACACTTCGAAATAAGAAATCACATGGCTTTTTAATGTAACTTTTCTGTAATTTTTCAAACAAAGGAATTCAGTGTTGAAAAGCAATAATACTGTACCTTGATTTCTTCTATTTCGTCTGGCACTATCTTGTATGCAGATATAGTCCCACCCAATCTGAAATAAGGAGAAGAAAAATGTTCTCAAAATCATAAATAGAAAATGCAATGTGTTAATGGTGTCATAACTTGTTCCAAAACCCAAATATTCCTTCTACCAATTTAAAGGCAAAGCCCACTAAGCCCCAAATCAAGAACCAAAAAAACCCCTTTCTTTATCCAACAAAAAATCTTTTATGTTATTAACACAACATTAGAAACAAGGTATCCTTCACCTTAACAATTAGGTCAACCAAGCAGAATTACCATCACCAGGATGGTATTCTTTATATTAACAGCCATCAATAACCACATTCTATGATTTCTCGTTTGTTGCCTAAGGCATATGGATGAGTTTAAATATTTGAAGCCTGTAAATATTTGAACCCTGATGTGCCTATTCTCAGTATTTCACTAAGCTGCTATATAGTCTTAAAAGCATCCCAATACAATTCTAGAAATTGAAATTTTTAAATTAAATGTGCATGTACAGACCCCACAAATCACACAGGCTCTATGGCCTCCATGTTTGAAAAGTCTCCGCAGTTAATGATTGGTAATAAAAAGTGGGTGATGTGCAATAGCTGGCACTGATGGAGAAAAATAGGGGGTTTTGTTCCACACTGAACTCACTGCAATTACTTTTCTAAATCGTGCAAAAATCCTGGTAAAGAATGATTTACATACAGAAGATGCATGAATAGCATATACTATAAATGGTGATACATATTACATTTTCCCCAGAGACATGCAGATATAGCATCTTTCATTTCAAGAAGCAGTATCATTGATAGTGACAATTCAGACCCAAAAATGTAATTGCAACTAACGACCTCATGCTGGCTCTGCACAACAACACTACTCATTTTCTGAGTCCTACAGAAATGGAAATCACATTAGAAACTATTTATTGTAAAGCAGTAGACAGCTATCAAATGTGTATTTTTATTATCCTCCCTATTACTGGAATTTTTCCTTCCAATTGTCAGTGTTTCTACACAGATGTATTTCCTCATATCTTGAAATTCTTTTAGTCACACACATACTATCTAGTCATCCAAAAAAGGGGAAAAGAGAGTAACACAGAAAATAAGATTTTCTGCATAAATCCTGCCTTTCCATATCTCTGTAAGTAAGTCACTCTCACAAATGATTTCTTGAAGGCTTTACACAGAAGATGAAGTCTGCATAGGAAGAGTCAAGTCTGAAGTCCATCACTGCTCCAAGTACCATGAAGCATGATTTCTGGGTACAGAGAGGGTTCAGATATTACAGTATTCAAATTCATCATGAACAATGAGTATACTAATTGCTTTCTCCTCCACAATTTCCATTGCTGCCAGTCATTAACTGAGCTTAAAAGTTGAAGAGAACCAAAATTTTTGTTTGCCAGTGCAAATACAAACATGGGCTTTAATTTTTCATGACCTTTGTTCAACTGGTTTTCTAGGGATAGTTACAAGAAATCGGTTTTAACATCATGACAAAGGATTACTTCATCAAACCATGACACGGGATGGCTCAGACGAATGCACATTAACACTGCACACGACCAACCCTATTGCTATTTGAATGAGGTCCATAAGATACAAATTTTTATTGAGTTCTTTCAGATCCATTCCTGATGCATTATGGAGTACTCACAAAATAACTTCATTGACTTTCTACCCTCTAGCAGAAGGGAAGGACAGAGCCTCTGCTGCCAGCACTCCAGCAACAGGGAATTCCACCCGGCAGACTTCTTTATTGGCCACTTGCAACACAACTATTAAGCACTTTCTTGGAATATATTCAAGAAAAAAAAATCAAAATAATTGATTCAGTAAATTTATCTGGCTTGCTTAAACCATGAGTTAGCATCACTTTATGCAAATACTTTTGCAAAGTTTTGTGTCAAGAGTTTAACACACTCTGAATCTGCTAAGTTGCAGTCCACAATTACACATTTTTGAAAGAGAAAGATATAGTAAAAGTTATGTTACTGTCTAAATAAAATCTCTCACTGATAACTCCAGCTCATATTTCTCTTAATATGTTAACAATCCTACACTGACATATTTAGCTTAAAAATCCAGACCACAAACATAAACAATAACAAAACTGAAGCTGAAAGAGAATCATAGACACCTTAATTTACAATTTTAAAAATGCCTCAGAGTTGAAATCAAGTTTTTAAGGAAGTCTATACTTTCATATTTTCAGAATATTAGATTTCATTCCATATTATAACTTCCAAAAGAGATCCACCACAGAGTATAGTACTAGATTTAACTGGCAAAGGACATAATAAAGATATTTGACTTTGTGTATAAAGTTTAGCTGTGAGTTTCACAGAAGTTTAAAGGCGTCACACACTCTGGGAGGAGACAGTTAACATGGTCTGAACTCTTCTACTGGTCATAAGTGTGATATATAAGAATTAGAATGTTTGGTTTTACTGTATATTAATGTATCTATAAGAAAAAAAGGATTTAATCTGCCCGTTTGGTAGGTTGTGAGTAGTGAACAGTAACATATAGATACAATTCAAAGACATTATGCTTTTTTAGTTGGTAAAATGTCTTGATTAGCTTCAATGTCATGCAAAACCCATTATGCTGTACAACTCACTCGCCAAAAAAACTGAAGAAGCAGAACCTGCTATGAAACATGCTGCATACTCTTCACTCGAAGACCATAAACATCAGCTCATTGTTACTTCAACGTAAATACTCTGAGAAATTTTTAAGTATTTAGTTTGGTGTTACCACATCACTATTACAAATCTCCCACAGTCAGGTAAGTCCAAAGCGCAAGGGAATAGACAACGTCACACACACCAAGTTACTGAGAAAAACCAAAAACATTGTGATGAGTGGTAAGAAAAAACAGCAAATCAAGGAAAACTGAAAATCAATGCATTAATTGATATGTCCAACTTGAAGAAAACTTAATATTTCAAGTATTTCTCTGAATTGCATTTAAGTGTCAATATCACTTGTGGCCTGTCTGGAAGTTTACTTGTTATTTTACAAATCCTTGATTTGGTTACTAACACCATAAAGAATAGAGACCAGACAACTACACACAGGAGAGTTCAGCTAAAACATGATACAGACTCCGACAGATGACTCGCACATGGCATGTTTTTTCACTTCCTTGTGAACAACCTCTCTGTGTAGGCTGGTTTTTTTTAGAACATTTTACACTAAATTTTTTAATCACAATGTTTCAAGAACTAATTGCACTGCGATGAGAAAAAGTAAAGGACAAGCTAGCATGAGGGAGCATACATTAATTACTATGGGTGTTGTACGCTAGAATATAATGCAGCAAAGAACATGTTAGAACAGCCAGAACTCAGATTACTACAGACCCAATTTTTGTGCAGATTCACTCATCTTTCACACATTTTAGTTTTATTACAGACTTTAATTACACATCTCTCCAGCTGAACAACACGACATCCAGCATTCTGCAATATAAATGGCATTTCTCTCAGAAAATACACAGCCAACCAAAAACAAAGTTAAATCTAAAGCCAGCTACTTCCAGTACACTGAAAAGACAGTCACAAACTTCATCTAGAAGACTTAATGTGCAAAGTCTTTCCTAAACTGTAGTATTTTCACACTACAGCAAGCCACCATTATTCAATAGTGAAATTATTTTAAACACTAGTTAGCTTTAATGTTTTACATGTAAATGTAAGAGATAATCTCAAAGGTCCTAGAACTTAAATTCTGATAGACATCATCATCTCTGTATCAGACCCTGCATGTAATACAGACACCCCAATTCTCTCTTTGCAGAAGACAAGTGAAATTATTCCTAGATGTAGAAATTAGAGCTGATACAATAATAATGAAGAACCACACCTTTAATGGGCTAAACTGGTGAAGGTCTTTGAGGAGAGAATCAGAAAAGGTAAGATAGAAATTTCATAAAAATAATCAGGAAATAATAAATATCACATAATTATTAATCCAGGGGTTTTAAAAATAGTAGAAACTTTGTGTCTTTATCTTTTTAGACTGGGTTCGCAGAAAGTTCACAAAAAGGATTCAGGAGAATGTGAAAAACAAGGTTTCTATAGCAACCTAAGAAATTAGCAAAATACTGGAAATAAAATGAAGTAAGGCCAACACAGTTGTATTGGAACAGATGGAAGCTTTACTATTTCACAAATTAAAGCAGAACATCGCTGAAGAGGGAAAAGTAACTCCATCCCAATTAAGGAAAGTTGAAAACCAGGAAGATCTGTGCTTAAATGGAGGCAAGAAAAAATGAAAGCTCAAGACAAAACTAAAAGAGAAATAAATTACAACTCTGTTACAACAACAAACCATCCTTTATTTTAATAAGCTATCCTTTTATGACCTGTTTGCTGTTTGTTTAAAACATACTCTATCTAAAACAGAAACTTAATTTCTCATTTTTAAAATATCAATTCTGGATATAAGGTCAAAATTACCACAGCATTACTTTCCATATATTGCAAGTTGGACTTCTGATTGATTTTCCCCTGTGCCCATGCATGTTCAGATGGACTCACTGGATTATTATTCCATAGTTGCATCTTGTTCAAGACACTTGCACACTGGGACTGAATCAGTATGGGTCAGTTTTTATAATTTGAATTCTGACCAAAGATATGAACACAGTCATTATATACAGTTCCATATTCAGTGGTTGCCATAAGAAGCTGAGCTATTGCTTCATCCGTTGACTTAATAAATGAGTCATACCAAATGCAATGAAGTCAATTTTCTAAAAATAGCTTGTAGCCAGCTTCGCTGCTGTCATCTGCTGAAGTTCTCCAATGCCACTTTAATTAACATTAATCTTTCTTCAGAAAGATCACTGTCTAAACAATATCAAGTTGTCACTAAGCCTCCCAGTGAAACTCTCCATCTTTTAATGGAAGCAAAACTCAAAATCCTCCACTTGACAGTTTTTTTCCAGATCCATCTCACAAATATATGTTATCTACATCAGGATATTCTACCTTTTGACTGATTTATAAGCCAAGTGATTATT